GGAGGGAAGGAAGGAAGGAAGGAAGGAAGGAAGGAAGGAAGGAAGGAAGGGGCTGAGCAGTGACCCGTGCCGGTATCCCAGCTACTATGAAGGCTGAGGAAGGAAGATCACTTGAGCCCAGGAGTTTGATGCAGCCTGGACAACAGAGCAAGACCCCACCTAAAAAAATAAATAGGAGCTAGGATTGTGGCTCAGTGGGAGAGCATTTGCCTAGCCTGTGTGAGGCACTGGGTTTGATCCTCAGCACCACATAAAAATAAACAAAACAAAGGTATTGTATCCATATACAACCAAAAAAATGTCTTAAAAAATAAATAAAATAAATGTATCCATGTTCAATTATTTTTTTTAATAAGAACAGAAATTTATTTCTCAGTTCTGGAGGCTGGAAAGTCCAAGATCAAAATGGCAACAAGAAGACTGGTATCTGATGGAAGCTGCTCTCTGCTTCCAAGATGATGCCTTGAATCCTCCAGAGAGGAGGAATGCTATGCCCTCCTGTCCTCACAGGGCAGATCACAGCAGAAGGGCAAAGGGGGTTAACCTCGTTGCCTCCAGCCCTTTTACAAGGTACTAATCCAATTCATGAGAGTGGAGCCCTGTGATTTAATCACTTCCCCAGGGTCCCACTTCTCAATACCAAAGAAGCTGAACTTCAACACATGAATTTTGGGGGAGACACATCCAAAGCCAGCTTTGGAATATTTGCTACAACTCAGGTCAAATCTGATGTTTCACTGGTGAAGAAATTATATTTTTCCAGTTGGGGTCCTCAAACATGACCCACTTCTTCAAAAGAAGACTAATATCTCAACCAGAGAGTCATTTTGCAGAGCTCCATGAGAATTGTGATCTCCCCTGGGAATCAGAATCAGTGCAAATTTCTATATGAAGTTCAATAGCAAGCAAAAGGTGTTCAAGAATACAACCTTCATATAAGAGGGCTAAGGGGGCCCAGGCCAGGATCATCAAACTAGACCCACTGGATGCCCCCCAGCCACTTTTTTTTTGTTTTCCATTTCTGTGGTGCTGAAGATGGAACCCAGGACCTTGTGCATGGTAGGCAAGGGCTCTATCAACGAGCCATAACCCAGCTCCTGATTTCTTCTTATCTCTGCCCCAGTAAGATACAAGCTCCACAAAGGCAGAGCTCAGTCTGAACTCTGGCTTGGTTCAGATGTTTCAGGTGCAGGCAGCAGAGACCCACCCTGTAGTGAAGCTGGGCTCCCAGAATGAGGACCAGCTGGAACTCCAGGCCTCAGAAGGAACACACACAGGATGGCCTGGGGGCTGTTCTCCCAAGGGCTTTGCCATCAGTGTGACAGATCAGTCCCAGCTGCTTCCTTTCTAGTTCAGAGTCTGGGCTCCAGGAGAGACAAGCCAGCTTGCTATGCTCTGCCTCTTCCTGACAGGCCCCCAACCTTGGTCTATAAAAACAACAGACTCTTGGGCTGGGATTGTGGCTCAGGGGTAGAGCGCTCCCCAGCGTGCGGGGCCCTGGGTTCAATCCTCAGCACTACATAAAAATAGAGAAATAAAATAAGGATATTGTGTCCAACTACAACTAAAAACAAACAAACAAACAAACAAAAAAACTACTGACTCTTAACCCACATGATTTTATTCACTCCCCTCCCTGACAAACATTAACATAGTGCCTAACATCTCAAGGTCGAATCCCTAGGACAGCCAACTCTAGATCCCTTTAACTGCCCGTGTAGGAAAGCTCAAGGCTGCCAAAAGAACTTGAGTTTTTCCTCGACAACACCTGGCACCAGAACCCTTGCCCCGCAAGACCCTCGGAGCACTTACTGAAAGGGTTTATGATGGTGAATCCTTCCTCTGTGCCTTTATAAATGTGAATCTATCTCCTACAACTCAGGAGAGGCATTCTCAAGAACCAGAGAGCTGCTCCTCTGAAATGTGATCCGCAGAGGCCACCGGAGGCTGGAATCCTGAGTCCACCCTTATGGACACAGGGCTGGCCTCCCAGCATCAGCATTGATCAAAACTTTGCCATTTTTCATTTCCCTGACTGCTCAAATCCCCTAGGTTCCCTTTCCCTACTCCCTCATTCTACCTTTTATTTTTATTTATTTACTTCTGCAGTACTGGTGCCTGGACCCAGGGCCTTGCACATGCTGGGCAAGTACTCTGCCACTGAGCCACACTCCTAGTCCTGTTTTATTTTATTTATTTATTTTTTGGTACTAGAGATTGAACTCATGGGCATTTAACCACTGAGCCACATGCACAGCCCTTTTTTAATATTTTATTTACCGACAAGGTCTCACTGAGTTGCTTAGGACCTTACTAAGTTGCTGAGGCTGGCTTTGAACTTGCAATCCTGCCTAAGCTGCCCAAGCCTCCCAAACTGCTGGGATTACAGGCATGTACCACTGCACCTGGTTGTTTTTAGTTTTATTTAGGGTCTTGCTAAGATGCTTAGGTTGGCCTTGAACTTGGGATCTTGCCTCAAATTCCTGAGTCGCTGGCTCATTCTACCTTTTAAATGTCAGGGTACACAAATAGAAGTTGAGTTAGTTCACATTGGGTCCTCTTCCATGTTGCAATGGTATAACACTAATCAAAATCTATCCTAGGGGCTGGGGATTATGGCTCAGTGGTACAGCGCCTGCCTGGCATGTGTGAGGTTTGATCCTCAGCACTACATAAAAACAAAATAAACATTTAAAAAATCCTAACTCTTTAGTTGATCAGCTTGTCATCAGCATAATGCCTTACTCATAAAAGCCTGAGAACTAGGGGCTGAGGTTGTGGCTCAGTGGTAGTATGCTCACCTAGCATGTGTGACACACTGGGTTCAATTCTCAGCACCACATAAAAATAAAGACAATAAAGTCCATCAACAACTATATATATATATATATATATTTTTTTTTTTTAAAGCCTGAGAATTATCTGTTGATTGGATAATGTACTAGAGTTCTCCACTGGGTACATTAAGTAACATACCTATCACAGTAATCAAGACTGAGTTGCAAGTGACAGACACTCAACTTGAACTGACCAGGATAGTCAAGGTGGGAAATTCATTGATGAATGCAAGGGGCAACTTAGAGACAATACCAGCTTCAGGCATAGCTGGATCCAGAGGGGGAGGGAAAACATTCTAAGACTCACTCTTTCTTTTAATGCTGCTTATATTCATGTCCCTATAAGCTGGCCTATTAGCTCCTGCCAGATAGGATCTCTCCATGTAAAGATGCCTTTATATCCTATTATTTATGCTTGAATCCAAAAGAATGTCCCTTTTTCAGCAATCAATCTCATGGAGTGATTGCCCTTGCTGAGTCACATGCCCATGCCCTGCTCTTGCTATGGAGTGATGGGCAATCCTACTAGAGCCATGCTGGATTGAGATATCATTTCCTCCATAGAAAAGGGAATGTTGAGGGCTGGGGCTGAGTGGTAGAGCGCTTGCCTAGCACGTGAATAAAATAAAGGTCCATCAACATCTTAAAAACAATTTTTTTTAAAGGGAGATGTTGAACTGGCCAAGGCAATACATGTCCGAAGACTGCACTGCAGGAGTGGGAGGCTTAAGATGGGAGGTGTGCTAGAATCAGGGCTGGCATCAGTGGGAGGTGTGCTAGAATCAGGGCTGTAAGGGAGAGCAGTCGGGCTGGGAGCAGGTGCTGGCTTAGAACAGCAGGAGCGCCAGGTGGGGCACTTCCAGTACTTAATCCTCCAATCACCTTGGGAGGTGGGGGGTACTGTTATCATCCCCGTTATACAGATAGAAAACAGCTCAGGGGAGTTCGGACACTCGCCCGGGAACAGTCAGGGAGGAAGAGGCAGAGTCAGTATTTCTGACACTAACCAAAAGGTGGGCCTCTCAGCCAGAATCCGCACCAAGGACCTCCACTTTTCCTTCAAACGTCTGCGATATTCGAAAACGAACTGAAGGAGGTAAGAATGCCGTCCCGGAGCAACGTAGGGCAGGCTCTGTCTCTTTTGACGTCTTAACCATCACACTTTTGAGATGGGCACAATTTTGCCCGCTGGAATCATGTCAAGGTCCCGGAACTGCGGGGCGCTTAGGGATCTGCACGCATGCGCGAGGCCGTGGGGGCGGGGCCCGAGAGAACGGCTCGAGCCGCGCGCCTGCTCAGGGGCTTTGAAAAGTTACCTGGCTGGTGGGGGCTGGAGTTGGGGGAGTTACCGGCTGCGCGCGCGCCGGCCCCGCCCTCAGCCTCCTCAGGCACCTGTTGGCTTGAGGGCCCACTCGGCCGCAGCTGTCATCCAATAGGCAGCCTCCCTGCGCCAATTCGGCCCTGCCCACCACCCGGATCCGCCAATCCCAGGGCGACCGCGGCCCCTCTCCCAGGGCCGGTTCCTCCCGGCGCGTCTTCCGGGTGGGGCCCCGGCCCTGGCGATGGCGCCCTGGGCGCTCCTCAGCCCTGGGGTCCTGGTGCGAACCGGCCACACCGTGCTGACCTGGGGGATCACGCTGGTGCTTTTCCTGCACGATACCGGTGAGCCGGACCCCGAGCGACCCGGACCCATCCGATCCCGTGTAGTGCCTCGCACGTTTGGGTCTCACCAGGCCCCCCACCTATTCCCCAGAGAGCCCGAGATTCACCCCGTTTCCGCCAGCTCCAGGCCCTCTCCCCATCCGTCATTCCCCCAGCCACCTGCTCTCCCCTGATGACCAGTTCATTCTTAATTAATCCCAGCATCTTCCTGATTACTGCCAGATGCCCTGTCCATCCCAAGAAACACTAAAGGATCGACTAGAGCTCCCATTTCCATGACCCTGGACCAGACTCCAGCCTTCCAAGGAATTGACTCCCAATCCCCCTATTCATGAGATTAGTAGGATCACCTACATTCACGGACTGGCATCCCAGTTCGGGCTTCCCAATCTCAGGCAAGGGAATACTCCGGTAAGGGAGGGGCCCGTCTCCAGAGTCCCATAGTAGCACCCATTTACCCACCCACCTGCATCCCATCATTCTCCTCTGGAGTCCCCTACCCACCACCTTTATCTGCCACAGTGAGCCCCCACCCGCTTTAGCCTAAAAATTTGCTCAAGTCTCTCCATCAGGAAAGGATGTCCCTCAAAAGCTTCCCTTCATTCTCTGCTCCCTTTTATAACCAAGGGCATCAGAGCTGTCCACACCCTGCTGTCCTCAGCCCTCTCACCTCCCTGAAATCCTCCTCACCTCCAGCCCTGCCCCTCCCGTTCTGCTCTGGGGGACCAGCCTCACTGTCCTCTGGTCTCTCCAGAGCTGCGGCAATGGGAAGAGCAGGGGGAGCTGCTCCTGCCCCTTACCTTCCTGTTCCTGGTGCTGGGCTCCCTGCTGCTCTACCTGGCTGTGTCGCTTATGGATCCTGGCTATGTGAATACTCAGCCCCAGCCCCAGGTAACCAGGGGCCCCTGGGAGCCTGAACTCCTCTTCCAGACAGTAGGGACCCAAGGCCCAGTAACAGCCTCTATGACGGGCCTTATTCTATGGGCTTTTGTGGGGCATCTCAGTAAACTGTCTTGCCAGCTCTAGACCCTTATCTTGCAATAAGAAAGTCACCAAGGCCCAGAGAGATGAACCTTGCAAAGGTCACATAGCTTTACTCAGTGTAGGGTGCTCTGCTCTACCCACCTACATGGGATGAGCCCCAAACTCCACAACCAGAGTAAGCTGGCCCCCAAGGAAGATGCCTACCAGTGTCATCTACCTCCTAAGGAGACCCTATCTCGTTCTCTGTCCCTTATTTTCAGGAGCCCAAGGAGGAACAGACAGCCATGGTTCCACAGGGGATTGCCCTTCGACGCTGCAGATACTGCCTGGTGCTGGTGGGTGATGCAGGGACCCCCATGGGACCTTCTGCCCCAGTACTCTGACCTCCCAAGTTCAGGCCCTGACCCTGGTCTTCATCCCTCTCTGTGCCTACAGCAGCCCCTGCGGGCCCGACACTGTCGTGATTGTCGCCGCTGTGTCCGCCGCTATGACCATCACTGTCCCTGGATGGAGAACTGTGTGGGGGAACGCAATCACCCGCTCTTCGTGGCCTACCTGGCACTGCAGCTGGTGGTTCTTCTGTGGGGCCTGTACCTGGCATGGTAGGTGTAGGTACCACTGCCACCCAGGGCATGGAGGGAGCATGGGCAGCATGTACCCACAGGTGTGTAGAGCCAGGGCTCCCTGGGCCCAGCTGAGAGGGATGGGGGCACCCTGCCTTCTCCTGTCTCTGAGTCCCTGTCCCTGTCCTGCAGGTCTGGCCTCCAGTTCTTCCAGCCCTGGGGGCTGTGGCTGCGGTCCAGAGGCCTTCTGTTTGCCACCTTCCTGCTGCTGTCCTTCTTCTCACTGGTGGCTGGCCTGCTCCTGGCCTCACACCTCTATCTGGTGGCCAGCAACACCACCACCTGGGAGTTCATCTCCTCACACCGTATTGCCTACCTCCGCCAGCGCCCCAGCAACCCTTTCAACCGTGGCCTGACCCGCAACCTGGCCCACTTCTTCTGTGGATGGCCCTCAGGGTCCTGGGAGACCCTCTGGGCTGAGGAGGAAGTGGAGGAGGGCAACAGCCAGGCTGTTTAGGTTTGCTGGAGGCAGAGCTGCCACCTTGTGCCTGAAAACCAGAGGAACCATACCTAGCTGGAGTCAGCCCTTGGAGGGCCTGGAGCTCCTCACTCCCACCCACCCTCCCTGGCCTCAAAGCAGAGCATCAAGACAGTGGCTGGTTCTGTCTTCCCAAGGAAGAAAGAAAAGAGGACCTAATTGGGGTTCCAGCACCAAGGCACCCCAGACTCCACCCTACCCCCAAACCAGGCTGCCTCCAGGGCACAGTTTTTCAAATTTAATAATCCATAAAGCAAGTCAAATATTAAAGACAAATCAAGCCACTCCTTACTGTGTACCCTCTCTGGTCCAGTTTTGGCCAGGAAGAAGAGAGATGGGAGGAAGGGCAGAGGACACACTTTGCTCAGTGAGCAAAGTCCACCACAGTAGCCCTCTGGCTGCCACCGCGAGTCCTACAGCTTATAAACCTGGGCCTCTGGGTGGGCACACAGATGGGCAAGTGGGGGTTCCAGTAGTCTAGGGGCATGGGCAAAGGTGTGGGGGAGCCCTCAGGGCCCCAGGAATCTCTCGGACACGAAGTCAAAGTCCTGGAAGGCAGCCTGTTGGCAGGTGGTAAGGGACCTTCGAGGGGCAGGTGGGGTCAGAGCCGGTGGCAGCCCTGTGAACTCTCCCTCAAAGTAGCGCAGGTCTGCTGGGCCGCAAAGCGTGGGCACGAAGGGGGGCTGGATTGTGCGAGTGAGCAGGGCCTGCCAGTCAGTAGTCTGGGGACAAGGGCAGAGGTGCCTGAGATGGTAGGAACAGAGTCCCCGGGGGTCACCCCAGGTTTCCCCCATACCAAGCACCAGAGACCATTATGGTCCAAGCCACTCACCCTGAAGAAGGGCTGCACCTTGATCTCCTCGGCATCCTGCTTGCCTGCCCCCAGGCGCTGCTCTGGGCACTTCTGGAGGAGCTGGGCAGGAGGGCAGGTGTGTACTCGGGGTGCTCCACCTAGGCACTGTCTGCCCTCCACAGGTACCCATGTGAGCAGCGCCACAGGGCCCCGAGCATGGTAGTGAGAGGCATGCAAGCCATAGTAGCTGTCAGGCCCAGCCCTCACCCCACAGTGCCTACCTTCTGAATGAGCTCTAGACTTTGCACAGACAGAAAGTGGGGGTATGGGGCATCTGAATTGACGATGCAGTCAAACACCTCCTCTTCCGTGTCTCCTGGGAACGGGCACTGTAGAAATGGGACTCAGTGGGTATATGCGCCACTTCATTCCACCCTACCTGAGGCCCCAGCAGTCGCACCCATCCTTACCTCACCCACCAACATCTCGTAGAGCAGCACTCCCAGCCCCCACCAGTCCACAGCCCGTGTGTAGGACTCCTGAGTCAGCACCTCAGGAGCCAGGAACTCTGGGGTGCCACAGAAGGTGCTTGTCCGGTCGCCAAAGCCGATCCCTGCAGACCATCATCCATACCAATGCCTGCTTAGTGTGACCTGTTCACTATAACTTCTGTGATAAGAATCAATGTCAGCTGGACCTGGTGGCGCAGGCCTGTAATCCCAGCTACTGAGAGCCTGAGGCAGAAAGATCTCAAATTCAAGGCCAGCCTCAGTACATTAGTGAGGGCCGGTCTCAATATAAATAAAGGACTGGGATGTAGCTTTGTGGTAGAATGCCCTCAAGTTCAATCTCTAGTACCACCACCAAAAAAAAAAAAAAAAATCAATGCCAAACCTTAAGATCCCAGGTAGCCAAGCCCAAGACAAGCCCTGCCCCACACGAAAGTGGCATGGTCATGAGGTGGTCATTGGACTGCATAAGGGAGCTAAGTCTCAGCCAAACCCACAGGCCAAAGTCACGTGAGAGGCAGGTCTCAACTCCCTCCCCAGCCCTAACCACAGATTCTCCTCTGACCAAGTCTAGGCTAGGAAGGAAGGGCCAGCATTCCAAGTCCTTCGCCAGGAGGCCTGGGGGTTGGACGAGAGGTATCTGCTGCTTAGTGAGGAGTGGAGTGTGGACCTGGACAGGTGGCCCCACCTTCCTTGCATAACCCAAAGTCTGCGATCTTCAGGAAGCCCTGGGCATCCAGCAGAAGATTATCCAGCTTCAGGTCCCTGAGGGCAGGGGGACAAACAAAAGAGGCTGAGAAGGCTGAGGCCCAGGGACCACCAATGGTCCCTAGAGCAGCCCAGGAGTGGGTTAGTATCCTTACTGCCTACCCTTACTGCCCTCAGCACCTCCAGGGAAAAGGGTACCTGTAAATTATCCTCTTCTCGTGTAAGAACTGCAGCCCCAGGACCACACAGGCCAGGTAGAAGCTGGAGGGGGGTGTGGGGGAGAACTCAGGCCCAGGCCAGGTACCAGGAAGGTGAATTCAGATGTGGGTGAGAGATGGGACAGAGGATCCTCATGTCTGGGCTGAAGGGCTTCTCCAGACAACAGGACCCAGACTGTGCTAAGGCTGCTGCACAATAACGACCTATCCTTCCTGGAGTCTTCAACTGTGCCAGGATCTATGCCAAGTGCCCCACATACCTTACTTTCCTGGAACCCTCCCCGAAGTCTCGGGGGATGCTCACCATGTCTTTTATTCAAATAAGGACCTGAGACTCCAGTAGGGGACCTGCCCAGAGTCAAAAGCTAGGGGCAGAACTAACAGACCAAGTTAGGCCTTTCTAACTCCAGCGCCAGCCCTGGACAGCAAAAAATAACTCCAGCTGCCGGTCTCTATGCCAGTGATTTATAAGCATTACTGACATCTCCCCAACACTCCTATAAAGGAGTGATGACAAACCCACAGCTGCATGAACAGAGGTCATGAATGCCATGGGAGTTGAGCCAGGTCTGACTCTATGCTGTTCTGCTGATGGGTACCCAGGGAGCAGCGGGATGAAGGGACAGGGAACCAGGGAGTTTGCTAGAAGATGCAGGCAGGAAAACCCACCAGGCCTGGGGCTCAGGGAAGACATCTTCATGTATCTGCATCATGAGGTCGCCTCCAGGCACAAACTCAGTCACAAAGCAGACGTGGCTGGCAGTCTGGAAGCAGGCAGCGAGGGAGAGCAGGAAGGGGTGCCCCGCACGGCCTGCGGCCTCCAGGACCCGCTTCTCACAGTAGAGGCTGCAGGGGAGCGTGTGGGTCTCAGAGGGATAGACAGCTTCTGGGGGCTCTACCCTGCCACCCACCCAGCACCCTGCCCACAGGGTGTACAAAGTGCCAGGCAAGCAGTGTGATGGTTTCTGTGGACAAAGGGCTCACAAAGGTCCTGAGCCTGCACAACTACCATGGCCCCATGTCACGGAAGAGGACAGGTGCTAAGAGAAAAGGGGGCCCTGCCCAAGAGCATAGTTTACAACTACAGGTGCCAGGCCTAGTAGACCCAGGGCTTTTAAATGCTGTCTGGATGCCCACAACCCAGGCCAGCCACCCTGGGTACCTCCAATGCCAATGCCCGGGTACTTGGAGCCCACACTGGTCCCACCACACACCTGTCGATTTCATCACGGCTCAGCACCTCCTGCTTCTTCAGAGCCTTGATGGCATAGTATTTCGCTGTCCCCTTGAACTGAACCAGAAGAACCTGGGGACCAGAGAGAAGCTGGGTTCCAGGTGAGCAAGACAGGGGGAGACTCCACCTCCCCAGGCACTGCCTCCAGGACCCAGCATCTCCTCACTAATGTGCTGGGGTCTGCCCACCTGCTCCACTGCCCCCTCAGCCCACTACCTTCCCAAAGTGTCCCCGGCCCAGCACAGCCAAGCAGCGGAAGTCCTGAAGCTGGGGGGCTTTCCTGCAAGAGAGAAAAGGCACCAGACAGAGGAGGCTAGGGGCGTGCTCAGTGGGAGAGCTTGCCTACCATGTGCAAGGCCCAGGTTCCACCCCTAGCACCACCGGAAAAAGAAAATGAACAACAAAACAAAACAAAAAACCTGTAGGACCAGGGCTGGGACCCCAGCTAAGCTCCTTCCAACCACCCATGTCCCAGCCTGGGCTGTCCCACCTCTGTGCTTGCGGGAGAGCCCTGCAGCAAAGCATGCAGCCAGAGCTCAATGACACGGTTCAGCAAATAAGCAAGAACCTGCGTGAGCCAGGGCCTGCCCCCAAGGAGCCAAGGAGCGAGGGATGCTTGGCTGCACACACACTCAGGGGAGCTGAGACCATCTCCAGGTGACCCTGAGCCCATGGGTACCTGACAGGTGAGGCTGGAGGGGTGGGTGTGCGTCCAGTCCTAGGCGCCATGTGTGGGCGTTTGGTGCACTGTGAGAGCAGGGCACAGGGTGCTCAGACACACCTTCCCTGCTTTCCCACTGGCCTGCCACCCTCCCACCAACACCACCAGCTGCCCCTTCCACCAGCCCTGCCCACCGGCACTGGAGTCTCCTCCAGGTTTGGTTCCTGGGCCAGGTAGAGGCGTGGGGGCTTGGGTGGGGGCTTCATCTCTTCTCCCAAGGAGGTCTTCTTGGGCAGGAAATCGCTGTAGGGAGGAAGCAGACACAGAATCAAGACCAAGATGACGGAGCAATTCATGAGAAAGACTTATAGCCATGTGAAGAGACAGACAGTCAGAAAGTGAGCAACACGGTTGGGTACACTGGCACAGGCCCGTTAATCCCACGGGCTCAGGAGGCTGAGGCAGGAGGATCAGGAGTTCAAAGCCAGCCTCAGCAAAAGCAAGGCACTAAGCAACTTAGTGAATCCCTGTCTCTAAGTAAAATACAAAATAGGGCTGGGATGTAGCTCAGTGGTTGAGTGGCCCCGAGTTCAATCCCTGGCACACCCCTCCCCGCAAAAAATAGAGAGCAACAGGGACATAAAGACACAAACTGAGCCTGGAGAGAGTCAGACACAGCAAAGAAGTGTACAGTCTGGCACGAGCTGGCTCCTCACCTGGGGGGAGCAGGGTTGGAGGTTTCACGGTGTGTAGCTGGAGAGTGAGGGCACCCCTTAGGTGGGGAGATGGTACTTGGTGAGCTACAGGGGGGCAGCAGGTTCATGACCAAGCGCCCCCAGGCTGCCATGCTGAGATTCATCTGGGACGCTCTCAGGAAGTCCTGGCCTGTGGCAGAGGAGCATCTGGTCTCAGGACCTTGTGGCCCCAGACCTGCCGCCTCCAGCATAGAACCCTTGCCCCCACACACCTCTGCGTTTAGAGAAAATGCGTTTCTGTCTCTGCAGACGGGGCCTTCTCTCAATAACAGGATCACAGAAGGTCACCTGCAGGGGCAAGGGCAGGGCTGAAAACTAGTCCCCTCCCACCCCATCTGCCATGGCCCCTCCTCCACCTTGGACCCAATTCCAACCTATCCTCCCACCCAGTATCCACCAGTGGATACAAGAGCCAGAAGGACCCAGAGAAATGGATTCCATGTCCTCATTGGTGCCAGGGAATAAATGGAGGCTCAGAGAATGGAGGTCCTTGACCAGGGTCACACATAAAGAAGGGCAGAGTCAGGACAGGGACACAGGCCTCCAAACTTTCCCTTAGAGAGTGGCTGGGCATCCTTGGTCTTGGAGCCTCCTCTCTGGCCCTCGGTTTCCACTCTTCTGCAGGGGAGCTCACTCTCGCAGGCTCTCCTAGCCCTGTGCCCAGGGGCCCGCCAGGTCAGAGGGCAGGGAGCACTAGCACCTGGGCAAAGAGCTGCCCCTGTGGCACCAGGCTGAGGGACAGCTGATGACAGGCATTGTCCAGGAAGTCCTCCAGCCTCAGGAAGGCCACACCACACAGCTGCCGCCAGTCCTTCCAGTGCACCCCGATCTCCAGCTCACGGGCCTACATCGAAGAGGCCAGGAAAGGGACAGAGCACACTAGCAGCCCCTGTCTGGGCTGTCTTCCACCCTGTGGCCTGCAACCACCCGCAACCACACAAAGGCCAGCCTTACTCGCTCCAGGGGGATGACAAAGGTCTGGTCCCAGGAGTGCTCAGCCACCTGTCCCCAGCTTGTCTGGCCCACAACACGGTTGTCCACCTTCAGCACAGCCAGCACCTCCCCTGTGAGGCCAGAGCTGGGGCTCAGGACAAGTACAAGCAGAGGCCCCTGCCCCGGGGCTCCTCCACACTCACTGGCCAGTTCACCTCCACCACGCTGCTGCTTGGCTCTGGCTCGGATCCAGCCCTCAGAGGGGCTGCCAGCCAGCACAGCCACTGGAGAACGTCCAGGCACGGTGGTCAGCAGCTGTTTACAGCCCAGGAGGCGGACCTGCAGTGTTCCTGAGGGGAAGTATGGGGGTAGACACATCAGACATCACCAACATCCCCTGGAACCCCATCCTCTCTAGGAGGTGACTGACCCAGATCCCCTGCACATTAGACCTTAGTAGCCACCTGCCATCCCGGGGCAAACCACAGGCTCCTTCCTTCTGAACATCCCTACGTGGGGAAGCGGGGACACTGGCAGAGTTGCAAGACCCAAACAGGCTGCATGGAGCCACAGGATGGGATGAGATGCTCCCAGTGCTCAGGGTATCAAGTGCACTGTGTCTTCAAGTGAGCCACGGCAGGGACGAGAGCCTGGGGCAGGGAGTGGGAAGCCTGGTGTGTTCTATCCTGTCCCACTTGCTTCCTGAGCCTTAGTTACTCCATTTGAATGATGAAGGGAAGCTCCAGCCATTCCCCACTCCCCAAATGGGTTCAAAACCTGTTCTGCCGACTGAATGGGCTTATTTTAGGATACCTAAGAGTTTTGTCTCAAAGGATAGCGGAAGCCGGGCACAGTAACACACTCCTATAATCCCAGCAGCTTGGGAGGCTGAGGCAGGAGGATCATGAGTTCAAAGCCAGCCTCAGCAATGGCGAGATGCTAAGCAACTCAGTGAGACCCTGTCTCTAAATAAAATACAAAATAGGGCTGGGGATGTGGTTCAGTGGGAGAGCACCCCTCAGTGGTAGAGTGGCTGGGAATCCTCAGTACTGCAAAATAAATAAATAAATATGTAACAGCAGCATGGCATTGTCCCTGCTCACTGTGCCAGGCAACTGGACATGCAACTAGCCACTGGATTTGCATAGTAACCTTGTGGGGTGGATGCTAATATTATCCATGTTTTTCAGACTGATAAACTGAGGTTCAGGGAAGAGATAGCAGTTGCCCAATGATGCATAGGTAATGGGTGGTGGAGTCAGGACTGGAATTCTTCCCCAAAGTGCTTCAGGGTCTTCCCTGAAAGGGAAGGGGAACTCTGAAGTCAGTGGGACTCCTGTCTACCTGTCAGGGCGACGGGCTTCACAAGCATTCCTGAAGGCTGGCTGTTCCCAAGCACTGAAGTCCGCAGTTCTTGGGCCACCCTGCTGCGCAGAGGGTGGGCAGGAGGTAATTCCTCCAGCAGCTTCTCCAAGGCCAGCCGCAGGAGGTCCAGCTTCTGGGAGGATTCCTGCAGTTGGAGCTGGGCCTACACCAGGGCAGAAGCAGGGACAGGCCATGGGATACATGAGGGAGGGCAGCTGCCATCCTAAAGACACCCCCACAGGAGGTCTGACACAACGCGACTCTTTTCCCACTGCCACCCTGCAGCCAGCCCATGGTGCCCCATGCCGCTGCCCAGGGTGAAATGGAGATAAGAAGATCCTCAAGCACAAGCTACAAGGGGAAGGGACATGGCCTGACCTCAGCCAGGGCTTTGCGGTCCTGTATCCTGCGGCCACCAAGTAGCTTCACCACGTTCTTGGCTCCCTCGGCCACGGCTGACTCAATGCGCAGCCGATGCTGTAGCTCCTCTGCCTGAAGCTCAGGGCCTGAAGGGATACTGGCCTTAGGTCTGGCCCAGCCCAAGCAGCCCTCGCTGCTTCAAAGGCCTCACCTGACTCAGAGGATCCGTTGGCCTCCAGGCTGCTGATCTTCATCCGCAGCAGGGCCACCTTCAGCTGGCTATCCTGCAGCATCTGTTGGGCAGCTGCCAGGAGCTTTCTTTCCTATGGGGATGTGACATATGCCCCTTGGACCAGGGCTGGGCCAGAGTCTCCCCACAACACCCCATAACAGGGTTCAAACTTCCCGTTAGCCTGTGGGTCAGAGCCAGGCCTTCCCACCAACTGGGGTTTGAAGCTCTACTCCCACCACCAGATTAAGGGCTGACACTGTATCTCCCTCACAGGGCCCAAGGCTGCTTGCATTTCCCTGTCAGAATAGGGGCTGGATCTCTACCTGACCTGATGTCTGAGAGCCAAGCCTCTCCCATCAGATTGGGGGCCGGGACAATGCCTTCCCATCAGACCCCAAGGGCCTTACCTTGGGGGTGCCGCTGGCACACGTGTGCATCATGTTCTCAGCCCCCTGCTTCACCTTCAGTTCCACCTGCAACTGCCTCCGCAGGGCCTCCAGGTGCCCAGCCCGTGACTGCTCTGCCTGCAGCCGGGGGCCAGAGGCCACAGGCTCTGTGTCCAGGGAGTGTGGGGCACACAAACCCGTCACCAAAGCCAAGATCCCTGTGACCAACTCTTTCCTCCCTCCCCCCCCTCCCGGGCATACTGGGGATGGCACTAGGAGAAGCGTGGCAATCTGATACAGTGGTCAGGGCCAAAGCAAGGAGTTGGGTGACCTGGAGCCTCCTGTCCCTTGGGGTCCATTGACTCCTCACTCACCAGCCGGGCTGGGCAGCAACACTCGGGCATGCAGCTCCTGCAGCTGGCCATGCAGCTGCTCCAGACGGCGGTTGGAGGATCGCAGCAGCTGCTGCACGTGGCCCAGATGGCGGCGGTCTGTGGCCACACGCCTCAGATTCTCCATACCCTCCTTGATTTTCAGCTCCTTCTGGATGGCCCGACGGATCACCTCTTTCTCATCCTCTGGGGGTTTCTGGCCTGGCCCTGGCTAGAGGAGGGTGGAGAGGAGTCATGACCTGCAGCCAACAGGGAAGAGGAGTAGACAGCACCAAGGGGGACATTTGGGAGGTTTCTCTGTCCACTGAGCTCAGGGATAGAAACCTCACAGCCACACGTGCAGTTCCTGTCCTCTGCCATTTAGAGAAGAGGAAGGGGAAGTAAGTAAAGCTCATAAAGTGCTTACCAGGTACCAGGTTCTAGTCTAAGAGCTCTGCAGACATTGCCTCCTGGGACTCACGGTAATCCCACCAAGTAGGAGCAGAGATTTTATTTTATCTTTGTGCTGGCAATGGAACCTGGTACCTCATGAATGTTAGGCAAGCACTCCACCCCTGAGCTGTACTCTCAGCGCCTTAGAGAGGTTAATATTCCCATTTTACACATGAGGAATGGACCCAGAGAGGTCAAGCAGCTTGCCTACAGTGGCAACAGAGAAGAGGCCACCATGCCTCTCCCTGCTGGCTACCCAGTCTCTCTAAGCCTGGAAACCAGAGTAGAATCTTGAGTCAGAAAAAGCTCACTGCCAAAAAGAAATTCACCCAAAGTCACAAGGAGAAGGCAGTCAATGGCCCAAGAGGCCAAGGTCTGTTCCTCTGCTTTCCTGATGCCACAGAGGCAGCCATTCCCAGCTCAGCTCTAGGAGGAAGCAGAAGTCTCCTTCACTATTCACCTGGTTGGAGCCAGGAAGAAGAAAACCCCCTCTCCAGAGGCCAACGCTGCAAACAGTCCAGTGACAGAGCTGATCTTGCCCAAAGTAACCCATGATGTCCCCAAGGGACTCCGCAGCAACCCCTGTCTCACCTCTCTTGGTTCCATCTCCTGAGCCCAGTGGAAGGGTGGCTACCCAGCCTCAGACACCCCCCACTCCAGGTCTCTGCTGGGCCGCTTGGCCAGCCAGTCAGAGGGCAAGGGCGAGGTTCAGGAAATCCTTTGGCCGCCCCAGGCAAGAGGGCCAAAGCCAAAGGCCTGAGAAAACAAAGATCTCTTGGAGCTGGGGGACCAGCCACCAGGGTCCTGAGTCACCCAGCCTTTGCTGCAGGGCGGAGGCTGCAGGAAATTGGAAAATGTGTACAGGCTAGGGCTGGAACAGGGGCAGAAGGACCTCCGGAGGAAGGGGGTGGGAGGGAGGAGACCCAGCCCTGAAGGCTGCCTAAGTCATGGGGTGGGGACACTGGAGGAGTCCCTGCCTACTACACCTCATCCCTGAACCCCATAGCTGGTGTGCTCTGGGCTGGAAGTCTGAAGACACACACAGACACACAAACACACACACACACAGACACACACACACACACCCTTTCCCCTTTCTGCTCTGAACTGGGACCCTATCTGGTAAACAAATGTCCTAGTCTAAGCCTATCTCACAGCTGCTCTGGGATAGGATACCACTTCTCCCTCCTCGGTGAGTTACACACACACACACACACACACACACACACACACACACACACACC